ACTCCAGACTTCTGCAGTGACACGCAGCCTTTCTGCTCTTTCACACACTCACCCTGATGTCTCTGGGGTGTTCTCCCTCCGCTATCCGCACCATCCACAGGAACTTGTTAATATCGTCGCCGGAGTAACCGATGACTCCGCCAAAGATGATCAGCACGTAGTCCACGTCCAGCGCCCTCATGATTTCGTAAGCAGCGCTCTCGTTGGACGACATGGCTTTACCCACCTGGAGAAAATAAAAAAATAAACAAACAAAAAAAAAATCGACAATGACAAATTACACTTTCACAGTTTAATATAAGATTTTTTTTCTCCTAGGAAGAAAATAAAAATTTTATTACACAGAGATTTATCATCAGTGTTGAAAGGATGACAGTTGGCAGGGCCACGCAGAAAGAGCCAAAGTGAGCTTATAGACCGTAATTTTACAGATGGTAGCAGAAACAAAACAAAATAAAAAATATATATATATTTAAATCTCCAAATAAGTCACAGCTTAGAATATTAAACCAGCTTTATTCCTGAATCATATTTGATTTTGGTAGTTTTTCATGTTCTACATCAGTGATCTGAATCTTCTTCCTGCATCGCCCTTTTTTTTTTGTAAACAGAGCCCCCGCCCCACATGTTGACTGTGGAACAAATAGGGAAAATGTCAAAAGTAAACTTAATTTTTCTTTTCTGAAACCCTAAGAGGACCCGCCCCCCATTTTTGGTACAAATGCACTTCATGGTTCATTCATATATTTCATATGATATATGTGGAATTTACGTTTGAAATGGACAATGTTTTTAAGGCCGTGTTTGGCTGTAGATCAAATGTTCCAGAATTCTCCTCAAGAACAGTGAGATTCTGAGGTTTTTAAAACATGAGTGGGCGGACAGTGAGAGGTTGGACTCTTAAGATTGGTTTAAAAAAAAAGAAAAAAAGACAGGAGACAAACTAAAGACTCTCTCACCAGTGCTATGTGACTGTTGTTCCACGTGTTGTTGTCCACCAGTGTGGTCCTGTTAGCCATGCCCGCTATCTGGTAGCCGTAGTCCCACCAGGACATGACGCGTGCGTGTTCGTCAGTGTTCTGCCTCAACCAGTAGTAGGCCTCCCTGAAGTCGTCCAGGATGTTCCGGGTTCTATCAGGGTGGGGAGGGGGAGAGAAAAAAGAAATTACCAGTGAAACACAAACATGCGTTTGACTGTGGAGTTTATGAATATTTCAGGCTCTACTCTGAATACAAAGGCCAACCAGAGAGTGAAAATAGAGCATGGATTTTTTTTTTTTTTAACCCACGTCAAAACGCACATGTCTTTAAACTACCCAGCTACAGTGATCAATAAAACAAACGCTGCTCTCACCGTCGCTCAATTCAAACCCTGTCTCCCGACTGCAGTGATATCTTTTATTTATGCATGAGAGCTGGAGTTCTTTCACTCCGTCCTGGTTTTCATAATTGTCCCTCTTATGCTTAAACAGAACAATTAAAACATTGAAGTCTCCCAAACGGACGAATCGATCAGTCTTTATTACATCCAGCCGTCGCAGACCACTTACCTCTGACCCAGAAAAGACCGAGTGAGGAAGAAAAATCATCTTCAGCCTTTTAGGTGCACTTAGAGTTTTCCACAAAGCTTTTATGATAAAATATACATGGGTTTCCCTACGCACACGCACACTGGCTTCGCACGCAACGCCTCTGCCTCCGTCCTCCTGAATCACAGTTATCTAGAAGCCATTAATACATTACAACCCTACGTGTGTGTATGTGGCGTGGTTTAAGGGGATGAGGATTTATCAAACAGATCGAGTGTATAATGGACTGTTCCACGTGTGATGTATTAGGATTATATGTTCATGGATCCGGTAAAAAAAAAAAAAAACAAAAAAACGGTCCTGTAACGGTTTAATTTAGACGTCCTGTTCTGATTCATGGTGGTGAGAGTGAACGCTGCCGTGAATCACAGACGCTCCGACTCTTTAGAAACACACGCACACACACAGGTATGTGTGTAACCACACTGCAGTGTGACCTCGTAGCTCAATCTAGACACTTCGATTTCAAGGACAAAGTATGCAGCATTCTCTTCAGTATAAACCCCCCCCCCCCAAAAAAACAAAACAATTACTATATAAAAGCAACAGTACTATACTTTATATGTTGTTGTTGTTGTTGTTCCCCTGGTAAACTGACCTGCGTGGCATTTTTTTAAAGATACAGTTCTGCTGTTTTCATTGGCGGAGAGTCAGGATCGGCTCACAGTAAAAAAAAAAAAAAAAAAAAGACTAAACTACATTTAAATTAAAAGAAAAAAACAATAAGACTAGGTTAGAAAATTATAATTAAAAGATTATTACAGTAGCAAAACAACAACTTAAGGTGAGGTTCAGGTTCTCCTCCATTTTGTGAAGCACGGTCGTCATAGAGACACATATTAAACTAAGAAATGTGAAGGCTTCAAACAAAGACTACGGAGCCTGAAGAGTAACACTGTATTAATTTGTGGTTGGTAATGTAGGCTCTTACCCATCGTGGTTGTAGGAGGCCAGCACCACACTGGGACTGGAGTAGGCGTTGCTGGTGACCCACGTGCAGTGGACGGCGAACATCATGAGCAGCATCAACATCAACATGGTGACGATGGACTTGATATTTGGACCCAAGCCTTCCTCCGCTTTCTCCTGCTCCGACACGTGTTTGCGCACCTTTCCCGCCTGCAGGGGGAGACAGAAACACTCTTAAGTTTTAAAGGGGATGGGGGGGGAATAGTTGCAACACGAATTATTGTGTTGCTTTAATTACAGGGTTGAACAGATTGTGTCTGGGTCTCAATCTTTCTGTACGTCAGCGTGGTTGGTGAGATGAGCCCTGTAATAACTTCAGCTGCAGCTGCAGAAGGAGTGCAGAAGAAAAATGAAAAACTCTGGGGAAGAGATGTGCTCATTACGTAAGTGACTCATCTGCCAGCAGCTCCAATTACTTTCTCTCAAAGTGTGGCTGAAATTGAGCTGTGAGAGAGGTTAATGAGATGACAAAAATGTGGGAAATAAAACTATAATGAAACGCTCGCTGCATCTGAAGCACAAACATAACTTATTGACTAAGAAATAAGAGCCTAGTCACAAAAAGTGAAGCGTGTTCATGGGAAAAATCACAAGGTGAAACTGGTGGGTAAAACTAAAAAAAGAGAGGAGCGTGAACAGTGTCGATGTTTAGAAAACACACGGCTGAAGCTTCAGAGGTTTAACCTTTAAAGTTTTAAACAGCACATTTCACATTAAATTAGGGCTCAAACAGAAACAGGAGAAAAACGGGGGTAAAAAAAAAAACAAAACAAAACAGGGAAAACACAGAGACTTGAAAGTGAATACAGCAGACACTTTGAAAATTGAATAAAGTGGGTGAGCTGAAGTTGTGGCAACGGCATCAAACAGTTGCAACTGAATCACAGTTGAATCACAGTTTATCAGATCTGCTGGGGTGGGGGCTGGGGGGGCTGCCAAACTCAGACCCTAGAAGGTGCAATAACAGAGTCTGACAACACCTTTTTTAATCTAATTCAACTGCTGAAGTCTGAACAATCTACACAATGTGACGCGGGGAAAAAAAAAAAGTCCAGGGTTGTGTCTACAGAAGTTGGCACAATTTGTTTTTTCACAAAAAGAAAAGAAGAAAGAAAATGTAATAACCTTGTCATAGAGATTTCCAGAATTCCTCTTGTCGTCCTCGTCACTGCTGTCTTCAGCGGGGGGCTTCTCCCTCTTGGTGTCGTCTCCCATGTAATGTTCAAAAACGCTGGAGAAGGCCACCGCGGACAGCATGCACACCACGGGAGTCAGGGTCAGCATCAGTCGCACCATCACGCCGGCAAAGTACACAGCGCTAATGGCGTACAGGGCCACTAATGAAAGAAAAACAGAAAAAATAAAAATTGGAATAAAAACACTCAGAGGGAAAAGTGAAAGGAGGAGAGAAAGTGAAGAGAAAATGAAGCAAAACGAGTTTGAAAAGGAGATGAGGACGTTGACGGGAGGAATTGAGCTCTTGGAAAAACACAGTTTAATCAGTCGCTGTGTTTTAGTTTAGTCTCTGTGAGCGAGTCCAAAGCCCTAACGTAGAGAGATCTGGCTGCTCTTGGTACATCAACAGGTGCGTGGCTAATCGATAGCTGTAATTGGCTGATTGAGTCGTGAGGAGGAACAGGCTGCTGTGAGACCTCATGTACTCGATGGTTCTCTGCCTTCATCGTCTGAACTCTGTTGTTCTGTAAAGAAGATCATCTATTGGTTTACCTTCAGGTATTTTTCAAAAGTGGTAGAGCACGGAGAAAAGAGATGAAAGAAAAACAAAACTGGTAGAGCACGGAGAAAAGAGATGAAAAGAAAAACAAAACTTTTTTTTTTAACTGCAGGTCAAATCCTTTGTTTTGCTGAGGTGTGATTCCTTTTTCACATTTTAATTTAAATGCGACTGCTGTTTGGCTACAGAAGACAAAATGTTCCACGTAGAACGCTGTGTTTGTACATGTCTAAAATTTTAAAATGTTTGTACTAATATAATGCATTCAGGACTGATAAAAAAAAAAACACAGTACTTTACACTTTACAGGTATTTGCCTTGTACCTTGGAGGCATTGAATAACCAACCAAGTCTGGATTCAAACCAACACAACGCAGACAAATCAATCCCAACCAAGTCTGGAATCAAACCGACACCACGCTGACATAAAAGTCAAATATGACTGAGTGTTCAGACTAAGTTCCTTCTAAAAACATGTGATATGTATTTGATTTAGGACCAGAGTGACTTGAATTAAAAATCAGTTACTGTTGGTTTCCATAGAAACATTATAATTTATTACTATATTAATATCAAAATACATTAAACTACACACTGGTGTGGAAATATTTGGGAAAACAGTTATAAAAAATAAACAAGTTTAATTATCAACAGTCTGTTGTTTTAACTGACTGATTACATTTTGCTCTCTTTGTGTTAGTCACAGACCAGAGCAAATACAGAAAAAAAAAACAGTTGAAACTACAGAAAAGGATTTGACTCAGGGCATAAAAGTCTGGCAGAGAATAAAGCGAAAACAAAAGTCAAATACTGAGAAGAATGAAACACCAGGAGGAGACAAAGGGACCAAGGACTGAGAGAAAAACGGAGGAAGTCGATGGAATTATTGATATTTTGTGACAGAAACCTGGAGTAAAACTGTCAAGCTGTTCTGGAGAAAAACAAGTTGTCCTGCAGCACACTAGCACCAGGAGCTAAATCAGTTAGCAGTTGAGTTGATGTGGATGGCGACGGAGACGAGTGTCTCAACATTATCTTTAACTTAAGTGGCTAATCAACCGGTTTTTGCACCAAGCTCCCACTAATTACGGGACAATTAGCGCAGCGTCGTCTACGGAGGTGAGGACACGAGTCTTATTAGCCAGAATGAAAAGTACATTTTGAACCACAGATGTTTTAATGAGAAGTGGAAGAGCGACACACACACACACACACACATTATGGAGTCCCCTCGTCTGAGACAATGTGCGGCTCAGTGAGTGTCAAACGAAGTCGCTTGATGTAAAACAGCAAGTATTACGCAAGAAAGTGCAAGAGTGACTTTGAGAAAAAACACACAGTCGAAACATTCAGAGTTGATCTAGTTGACTTTACTTTTGAGATTTTACGTCAACACTAGGGTTGTGTTGGGACGGACATCAGTCGTCAGTTCACCCACCAATATTTAACCACCGTATTTAATGTCAAACATCGAGGTATTTTTTTACAAACTTTGAGTAAAAAGAAAAATCAGAAGTTCCTACCAAAGACCCGTTCATCGTTGATGTTCTTGATGCAGAACCAGAGTCCGGCAGGAAAGGTGCAGACCAGGATGTGGAGGTCAAAAAAGAAGGACACCCACGTAGTTGGCTGATGCTCCGACACCGAGGCTATGATCGGAATGTGGATCTTTGCGTATCTGGAGAGGTGGAGAAAAGGTAGAGGAAAAGAAAGAAAGAAAGAAAGAGAGAGAGAGAGAGAGACAGGATTTGACTTATGGATCACAGCGGGTGTGTGGAGACAAATCACATAGAAGATCCTGCTGATTAACTCCAAAGTGATGTGCAGCTGAACAGATTATTTACCTCCTCGGCATGCACACACACGACAAACGGCAAACAAATTTAGCACGACTGATGAGCAATGTTCTCTGCTGTGTTTGAGTCTCTGATCTGCATCCTACATATTTATTCATTATCAGCTTTAACCCAGCAGTCTGTATGCAATTTGGGAGAAAAAGGATTTTGGTGGAACAGCTGGGAAACAAAACACACGGCACATTAATAAATTAACACCAGCCTCCGATGGAGAGAATGAAAGAGAAGCTGCTTTAATCAGCAAAGAGCTGAGGATCTGATGCTGGGGGTGTAAAAAATAATGTTGTGTTGCAGGTCGACCGCTGCACGCTCCGCTGTTTGAGGGTGATTTAACAGTCCGTGTTCTAGCCTTTAAACATGTGGGCTGCAGTGAAGGGGTTAGCCACCTCGGTAAACAAGTAATTGCATTCGATTGAACGAGAGGAGCGCGGGCAAAATGGGAGGTCAGCGATCTTACCCCGTGTCCCACAGAGAGTAGAAGCGGCCGCTCCACGGAGCGATGTAGCCTACAGAAGGAAAAACACAAAGAGAAGAGAAACGTTGAAGGCTTTGGTGCTACGGTACAAGTGTGGAATACAAGTGAGTTTTAGCATCTGCTGAATATAAAGACAGACTGCAGATGGACTGTTAAAGCAGAATTTAATTATTTCCCCGAGGTGTTTGTCATCCACTCGGCCTCGGTGACATCAAGAGACAAACCTAGAAATGGTTTGTTTGTCTGCAAACAGATGCAGATTTATTTACCGTAAATAACATTTCTTAATTCATCTATGTAACTGTGACAGGAACAGCAACTAAATACCCTTCCACTAGGTGGCAGCAAATGGCTCTAAAAACAAACCAGGGCTTTTGAAGATGACCGTCGGGTGCGACTTTCTTCAATTTCTGGAGATATATCAGAGTTGTTTTCAACTAAACAGGCCCAGTGTCCACAATTAAAAAAAGAAATGTTGAGTTAGTTGGAACTAGAAGGTCATTGTATTTCATTACATATATTTTTTGTGAAAATATGAGCTGGTGCACGCATAATTGACCTGCTGTTGAGGATGAAACTGTTTCAGCAACTAATGGAAGTTTAAACAAAAAAACCCATCTAAAACTTTGGGGAAAAAAAAACAACTTTTTGTTCTTTGAGCATCCTCTTGATTCAACCACAAGGACGGTATTTTACAGTGAGTCTTTCATTTTATTTCAATGGAGCCTGGACAATGAAACGAACCAGACGACTAATCTGCTTCATCGGGACTGTGAGGACCAGGTTTATTCAGATTTGATTGACAGAAATCTGGCATTTTCAAACAAAACCGTCAGCCAATGCCATCAGGCCGCGGTAGAACTTTTGGCAAAAATCTGACAGGTTCACAATGAGAACCAACATTGGGTCCGAGAACATTTTTATGCATCATTGTGAAACCAGGGTTCATCAACCCTCCCTCCTCTTCCTCCATCTGAACATGGTGAAAATTATACTTTACTGCTGTAAATGACTTGTATATAAATGTAACTAAAAGCATTTAAGCTGCAAATTAGACTGCAGGGAGCTTTTTATGTGCTGCTACACATTTCTTATTCTGGTTGTGCTTCCGTCTGGAAAACATTTCTGCTCCACAGCGTTGCCCTGAGGCTCTGGCATTCACCTAAATAGAGTTTATAATGTGTTACTTCTCACCAACATAAATAGCTGCATTATGCCCTTTGTTACTTTCAATAGATTGAGAAAGAAATGTGCTCAATCTTGATGGCAATGAAAATACTAAAAAAATAAATAAATAAATAAGACCCCTAAAATAAACTTTTTAGTGCTCCAAGGCAAGAAAAACAGGAGACTTTGAGAGGTGATTTAAAGGATGAAACTTATCTAGCCGATCAATACTTGGCTCACGGTTTAAGTTTCTGTGGAGAAGCTCGGCAGAGACACTTTCTGTTGCGGGGAATTTTCTTTTTTTATGAGATGAAAATGTCTGACAGATGACGGAGGACGTGCGCAGATCGGCTGCACAATTGGTCTTATTACGGCCAGCGGTCACTGAAGGCCTCGTCCTCCGTTCAAACCCCTGAAGGATCACAAATGTTCAGACTCCTATATCGCTTGCTGTCTGCTTTATTTTGAGGACCATCGAACGGGAAACGGATTGTAATAAACCGATTTAGACTCTACACTAACGTAATGTCTTGTTATCTGTAAATAAAACGGACAAACAGCAGGGATTGGATAATCTGGATTGTCAGATTTTTAAGGCTACTGCAAACCTGTCGAGAAAAGCCATCCATACAGTCAGATAAAAACAGACTTTTCTCAGGGCTCATTAAAGGCAGCAGAAACACTTCATAAAAAGAATAACAGAGTGCACTTCCTGTACAATAGACTATATTAGCTTTGTTAGGACCGGACTGTGTGTGTGTGTGTGTGTGTAATAAAGGGAAACAGAGTTATTGTAATGTTGTGGAAAAGTGGTTAAAAATAGCTTCCGCAGAGACTTTGTGCTGGTGTAGACTAAACTCTTCCTCCTGCAGCTGTTTTTATAACGTGATAGACGAGTATAAATAAATATATCATACACTTTAAATAGGTCATCAGGCTGAATTTGTCATCCTCAGGCAGAACATTCCTCAAAAAAAAAAAAAAATCCAATAAAAACTAAAAGATTGATGTCAACACCGTGTGCGAAATCCCAGATCAACCAGTGTTTATCAGGTTTTATAATAATATACAGGAAATGTATTTATATTTATGAATCACCTTTATATATTCAAAAAGGTGTTGGGCAGGAAAACTATTCAACATTCCATCATGACGGCTTGTCAGTAATACATTAATTTATGATTTATTTAGTTTTTAATTATTTCCAAGCATTAGTAGCTAGGACTAATCAACGTTTTAAAAACAACTCTCGACACGTTCTTGAGCCACCGTCACGATGCAGACTAATGACTTAAATTCACCAACTTAATGAAACTAAATTTGAGTCATTGTTTGGTAAATTCCTCATGACATTTTTTTGCCCCATATTAATAATTTCCACCATTTGGATTACTCACAACCAAAACATACACATTAACCTGTTATTATTTTACTTCCTGTTTCAATGATATTCAGAAAAAAATGTTTTTTTTTCATATTTAAAATAGTCGATTATAATCATGGAAAAACCCCCCCCCCCCACCCACAGACACTCCAAGGAAGAAAAGAGTCTGGAACTCCTGCCGTGTCAGTCTGTCCTTCAGGTACTGCAGGAAGGCATAGGCTTGGAGGAGCGCAAAGACGCCTGGGTGAGAGAGGGTGAGAGAGAGAGAGAGGGTGATGCACAAGAATGAGCAGACCAACAAAAAGGAAGTCGTGCTGAATAAATCTGAGGGGAATCTGATTCATCCTGCTTCCAGCGGAGTACAAAGCAGCACGGCAACATTGTGAGTTTGGCAGAACTCAGGAGCAAAGATGCAGATGTTTAGGACAAATACTGTAGAGGAAGACGATCGCATTCCTGTTTGCCACACAATGCGTTTAGTTTGTCTGGTGAATTCGACGTAAACCGTCAGAAGTTGACCTGCTTTCCGCGCCTTTCGTCACCTCTCGTTCTTTTCAAAAGAGCTTTTGTGATAACACTTCAGTCCGTCCACGGTCCACACCGACCCAAAAACAGATCATCCGTCTGCGTCGAGGACGACAGTCAAGGTACCAACACACCTGTCACTCCGTGTCCCCCCTTTAGGGACTGATATCACGACGGTACCCCACAGGTTTGGAGCTCTGTCACTCTCCCACTGCGGTTCATGTTTGCTTCCACAGCAGATGTTTCCAACAGCTGCTACCAGGGCGATGTTAAAAAGACACACACTTGCTCTTTGAGGGATAGGTGAAGATTTTTTTTTTTTTTGGAAAGATGATGTCTTCAAAGCCTGTCATAAATCTGTTGGTGCAGTAGACAGTCAGAACAACAGGGACACGTCAACACCAGCCCTGCTGCAGCCTGCTCAAATGATCTCCCTCAGAAAGGTGTTTAGCTTCCCGAGGACGTCTGGAGACTTCCTTCCAAAATTTGAAAGGATCCCAAAACCAAAAAAAAAAAAAGAAAGTGCACATGAATATGCACCCAACCGTCCCATCTGCTGTCAGGCAGCAGATGGACCCACTCCTGAGAGGAGAAACTGAACAAGCTTTAATAAACTATCCATGTGCCAAAAATGAAAGAGGCTTTTAAAGAAAACCCACATGGGTGGCATGTGAAGTTGTTTCTATATTTTCATTTGGGAAAAAAAACAAAACTATTAGTCACATTAAACGGCTGAAAGTTGCAATTTTTTTTTTTTTTAATGAGTAGAATCCATGTCTATAAATGGCTGCAGTTTTTGCACATTTTTACCTCTGTTCACCTCTTAACATTAAAAAAAATAAATTTAAAAGTAATGCACTGGAGAATTAATTAAAATCAGTCTATATACTGCAGTGAAAAAAAATATTTACATGGAGAGTCACGAGTCATGCAACATTGAATCCTAGTGATGCATTCAGTGTCTACTGTATCCTGCACTTAGTTATATATATATATATATATATATATATATATATATATATATATANNNNTATATATATATAGCCTGTATTTATTAATTAATTAAAATGTCTTGAGCACCCCCTAGTGACCGCTCATGCGCCACCCTTTGTGAATCCCTGTCCTCAAGAAAACACAGAGGTTGTTTTGTGTTTCAGATCCTTCCGTTGAGTTTGTGTGTAGTTTGGTCGGGTGAAGGTTGTGTTGGGTGAGGTCACAACTTACCGGCAGCCGCCATGTGTTCGCTGGTCCTGATTGGTTGGAAGCCGACGAAAGGGATCTGCATGGACAACACGAGACCCACGATGTAGAAGGTGCTGTACGCTGTCAGGAGAGAAGAACCAGAGCAGGTGAGGAGAAACATGGTTGACTGGTGAAAACCTATTTGTTCTCAGGTGGAGGTTCTACTGCAGGATAATGGGCCTCAGCAGTGACATTAAAAGCCTACTGATTTTCTCCGTTGCACCTCGGAGGCAGCGGATCTAAAACACCCTAATTCAGAGCCATTAAATGAGAAAATGGAGCTGGCGAGGCGCTGTGTGATTGGGGGGAGGCCTGGAGTGGGACGACAACGGCGCTGACAACAGCACCGCTCCCACCTTTGTAGCTGGGAGGAACCGGTTCACAGGCGCAGAAATTAAGATTTCATACTCTTCCTGAAGAGTGCGTGGCAGTGTTTGAAGACTTGACCGCCCTCAGCCATCGCGTCTCCTCACAACACGTCTGCTATTGATTCAGAACTGGGAGAAAGATAAATAGCAAGGAAAAAAAAACACGGAACGGGGAGTTGTTTTATTAAACTTTAGATTTACTTTTTGTTTCTGTGCTGCGGCTGAAAGACACCCGCAGCTGGAGGATGATGAGAGGAGAGAGAGACAGAGGAGGACTCTTTAAGACCTCCTGTCTTTTCATGTCAACACGAGGAGTCTACAAATGTATGTCATGTCGTTTCCTTTTCCACAGGAAAACTCTGAGTAAAAGTCACTGGATGGTGCTCAGGCTGGAGATTTCCTGGAGGGCCAGCAAAGGCATAAGGAAATTTTCCACTCGGTCTAACAACGGCGCTGTATCATGAAGAAAAATCTCCACAGCTGAGAAAGAGTTTGGCGATAAAGTGCGAAGAGCACGATTATTCATTTTCACAGCTCTCAAGAGAAGCTTTGGCTTTGAATTTATTCCGTGTATAACACATAATCATATGGAAATGATACTTGACGGGAAATCATCTTTCTTGACCACAACAGCGGAGCTGGGTAATATCGTATGAATGGACGGTCGACGACAGCTGCACGTCTGTGACACACAGAATACTGCTATCGTAGGGGAGTCAAACTTCCTCTACGAACCCCGTACATCCCAACTAAACAGGACGGGAAAATGACCAACAAGCGAGGGAGGTTTTCAATAATGATGGGTAATGGACAAGAGGTGACCGAAGAGGTCATACATTTGTATCATTTGTGCAATGAGTTTGGATTTTGGCATCGAACGATCGCAAAAACAACACAACGGAGTATTTTCTCAGCATGAGACTCATTCCACGATGAGTCACTGTTACACATGACTACTAAGTAATGTTTACAGTTTTATTTTTTAGGAGTATTATAAAATATATATAACTATTCTGTATTTGTGTTGTAATGTATTTTTAAATATTTAAAATGCATTTTATTTGTTTTCTAGAGAGTCAGGACATGTATTCCATTGCTGATTGTATTTACTTTTTTTTTTAATCAGTTATTTAAAGTAAAGTGTTTAATAGCTTTTTTTTTTTATCAGTTATTTAAACTAAAGTGTTTAATAGAAAAGGTATATATATATAAAAAAAAAACATGTCAAATTCCCTGCGGCCCCGCAGCTCAGTTTGAGTTTGAGACCCGTGGAATAACGAGCCTGTCTTCTTCAGTGCCGTCGCGCGGTGACTGTGCAGAAAAAGGTAGCAGGTGGCTGTATTTACTGTTAAGTGATGTGTGGGAGTGTGGCTGGCCTGCACTGCTGATGATGGAATGCTTATGGACGGGAGAGATGAGCACAAGCATAACTGGTTATATGAGCTTGTTTCAGACCACCCTCCCATCCCTAGCCCCCCCCCCCCCCGAAAAAAAAGAAAAAACACATCAGGGGAGGAGGATTGGGCGCGCAGCGACGAGACAGAGTTTTGTCTGTTTATTGCATACGTTTTCATTATAATGGGAGACAATCTGAGACACAACAGTTTCCATTTCAGCTACTCTGTGTGCGGAGGCGTTTTTAGACATCAAATCAAACAAACTGAAAGTTATTGTCTGGCTTGCAATGTGTGTGTGTGTGTATCTCACCGATGTAGACTCTTCTGCTGTAGCGTTGCATGAGCATCAGCACAAAGACATGCAGCGGGATCAGGTTGATGATGAAGACGTAGCCTCCCCATGCTGACACCTACAGGCACACACAGAAAATCAATGTCAATTATTTCTCACTTATGTCGTCATTGTTGTGGCTGAAAATAAAATTAAAAAAAAAAAAAAATCAATAAAATGTACCTATTGATTCTATACACTTATATTTGAAAAAAATAGGTCCAATCATGTGCAATCATGAGTTTCTTTTGTGTGCGTGTTTTAATTCAATAGCAGTCATCAGACGGTCCCTAAGAGTCGACTTCAAATCATTTTTTAACCAATGGTGACAGTGGAAAGCGAATGTCATAACGCAATCAGGCTCTGAGCCGTTTCTCACTTACCCACTCAAACACTGTCTTCTAATTAGGCAATTAACAAGAGTTTTCACTGCTGATTAGCTTGCTGATTATCTGCCTCTTAATCAATTGTTCCAAGCAACAAAAAAAAGAAAAAAAGAAAAAAAAAAAGCCATTGTTTTCAAGAAGGAAATCTGCACATTTGGCTTTCCAAGAAAGTCACAAACTAAGAAAAGAGTAATTAACATGTCGGGTGTGAATTGAACAAAAACAACAACCAGAGTGAGTTGTTGAATCGGTTTTACGGAAGAAGTAAACAACATGGAGCCTGTGTTTGTCTAACAAAAAAAAAAGAAGAAAATGGAAAAACACAATTACTCGAAGAAAACTTGTTCACAATGACATGCTGACACAATGTATTAGAAAAGGCAGCGAGTGGAAAGTATTAGAAAGTGAAAAAGAGAGGGAGATAAACAGCAAAAAAAAAAGAAAAATTCCAGTAATGAAAGGGGACGACATACAAACAAACTGCTCTTTTGTTCCTGACAGATTTTATAGAGTCTCCAACTACACCTGCTCAGAACAATAAGGAGAGCTTTCACTACACCGTCGTGAGAACAAGAACATCATGTTGAAGCCGCAAGAAACATGGAGCACAACATTAAGGCATCGGAAAAAAAAAAAAAAAGGGAAAAAGAAATAGAAAAGTTGCTGAATAAGTTTGCTGCTGAGTGGCTGAGAACAATTATATTCTGGCAGCAGTTTGCATCTGTTCTCTCAGATGGTGACTGTCAGGAGCATGTGGACCATTACTTCAATGAATCCTGGGGTTGATTTCAATTTGGGGCTCATTGTGAAAACAGAGGCGCCTGATTGAGTCTCTGTTGCTGACTGGCTGAGAGCTAATTAACAAGACAAGGTCAAAAAAAACCTGCTATGCTGCTCCGCCGTTCACGGCGCAGAGTGAAATTCAGAGAAGTTTTTCTGCCTCACAGGGAAACTGTTGGAAGGATCTGTCATATGTAAAGTAGCTCAGATTTATTCATGTGGATTTTTTTTTATTATTATTAGAGAGAAGAATCACAAAAAATTCTCCAAAGATTTGAAAAGTCAGCAAATCTACACACAAATCCACGGAGCTCGTGGAACACTCTCTCATAAGATTAGACAAACTGTCTGCACCAGCGTTTTCAGAAAATAAGAATAGATGTTGACAGACAACACTCCAAAAAAAAAATTATGTTTTTGGAGTGTTGTATTATCTGCGACACATTGCTTGAAAGGAGAAAAATGCAACAACTGTGACCTACAATAACTGACTCAAACCACCTGGCTCTCCTGCAGGTGGTGCTATAAACACAGATGTAAAGCACCAGTCCATCAGTTGAGTGTACAATAATGACATCTTTGTCGCATTTAGTACCGATAGTGTAGAACTGAATTGCACAGACTACATGCAATCTGAATTCTTGGCACATTGTTCCAGCAGATTTTGGAGCTTTAGAAAAAAAAAGTTTGAGTAACCACCTGACTACAGCTCCCACCAATGTGAAGGTGATGGGTTTATTTAACATTTGGACAAGTCATTTGGCATTGACACTAATGTAACAGACTCACATTTACATTTAAAAGCTTATGTACTGCAGCTTAAAGCGACAGCCAACTATTAAAATGTAATTTTGAGAGTCATTTATTCCATTTCAGATACTCAGCAGAGCAAGAAAAAAAAGAAAAAAGTGGGGAGAACTCAATGTCATGCTTGTGGTATAAAAGCCTGGAGATTTCCCCAAGGTCACTATTAGCCAACCAGAAATTAAGAGGATTAACTTCAATGTCATTCAAGTATCTGCCTGAATAGTTTTCCAACAAAAAAAAGTAAAAACAAGTAAATCCAGATACATGGATTAGAACGGAACTGAACTGCAGGGAAGGTAAGTCAACAATGCATCCTGATTTTTTTTCCCCCATCTCTCATTTTTCAAGTTAGCCGAGCACACGTTCTGCTTGAAGGAAAAATGACGGGGAGAAAACGGGCCATCTGCTCACATTAGAAAGGGCTACGAGAAGATGAATACCCGTGACAAAATCACAAAGTATCGGTAGTACATCTGTGTTCACGCACAAACAAGCTCTATCTGAAATAGCTTTAACGGCTGATCATCAGTCCAAGCCAGGGGCTAACGACTCAGGGCGGGAACTAGGTGGGGGGGTGGGGAGGGAGCAAAGCCTTTAGTTGTTATCGTTCTCCTGCGTTTCATAGCAGGTTTATCTGATGACACGGAGACAGAGACAATAAGGCAACAATTTGTGCGCACACAAAATGAGAGCAAACAGTCCAATCGCTGACTGGGATACGATCTTGTAATTGAATACACTGTACTTCAGTGAATACGATGAGTACTGCTTGTTTGTGTTTCTTCATTAGCGACATTACCCACACTCAACCGCAGTTCATTATAAACATTTAAAAGTCAAAGGGCGTACTGTGGCTGCAGCGCGACGACTGCTGGATATCAGCTGAGTATTACAGTACATGTCTTTGCATATTAGTCAGAATATGAAAATAAGACATTAATAGTTCAAGGAGGACCAGTTCCACCGTCTGGTTTCACTCATGTCATGAGCTGTAATGTTGGTTTTAATAATCAGACTATACAAACATTAAAAGCTAACATGCTGCCACATAACATGTCCATAATGCTAAAGCTAATATATGGTTTGTTTACTTTTATTCCCCCATTTTAGAAAATGCCAATACTATGCATATAGTTTTGTAAGTAATAATGGAATGGAGCAGTGGAAGATGATGCTGAAGTGTAAATACCAACAAGCGCAAAGGTATGAAATGTGATAAAGTGACATTTTAATGCCGTAAGAAAACTCCCGTGGGAGGATAGAGGCTGGGAAATGTCAGTAGATAAACCAAAAGTAAAACAAGCCGAAGGAAAAAGTAAAGTAAATAACGGCTGATGTTAAAAAGACAGAAAAGGGTTGAAAGTACAAATGTTTGCCTGCGGTTTAACTGAGGATCACGGTGGTGAGCCTACAATTACAGAAGAAACTTTAACTGCAATCTGTGAAACAAAAACAACTTGTTTTGGAAATGATAACTGAATTAATCTTTTAAATTAATTAGACAATAACGATACCAACTGTTGAAGCTTAGGAGACTTTTCTGCACATTGTTGCTGTATAAAAGACTCATTTTGGTAATCTGGACCGCAGGCAGACGTGTTCAAGTGCATAAATCTCGTCTGTAAACTTAAGCTTTTGTAATTTGTTTAGAATCAAGTCGGGTGTCCTTGCGGTGTAGAAATTCAATGGCGTTCTCCAAGTCGAGACAATTTTAATGAAAGCCTCCCCAACAGGTTCCTTCTCCACTCACGATGATTCTTTAAATGTCATGACTACTAATGCCCTGCAACGTTGTCACAGGTGCAGGCTCCTGCACCCTCATGTTGACAACATTCTGGACGTTCCATTTCATTTCCCACCATCAACTCTTTACAGGAGACTGTGTGAGGAAGCACATCAGGATGTGGCAGCAAACGAATTAACACCACTACTAAACGCAGGAAAAACATCCA